AAACGGAGACGTAACAGTACTGAGAGAAAGTAAAGCAAATTACAAAGTAGTCATGGGTGATTTCAATTCCAAAATAGGAATTAAAGGAAACAACAAACCATTTCAAAGTAAAGGAAAATATGGATAGGCCAAAGAAACAACAGAGGAGAAAGACTTATTAAATTTGCATAAAAAGAACAGTTAGTAACAGGAAACCGTTTGTTTGAGAAACAAAAAAGGAGGTATTGGACATGGGAAAGCCCAGATGGAAACACAAATCGACTTCATACCTGTGAACAAAAAAGAAATCATGGAAAATTGTCAAGTCATAACCAAGACAGACATAGGAAGTGCTCACAGAATGGCAAGAACAAGAATTAAGATAAATAAAAGACTGGCGAGATTTAAAACAATATGACAGAAGAAAGCTCTCAAGATCAATATTAATCATCTAAATAAAAATAAAAGAGACTTTGAATTAAATCTAAAAAACAGATTTGGAGTGTTGGAGGAAGACCTTGATCTAGATAATTTTTGTGAACAACTAAATGAGATTTTAATCGAAGAATCAGAAAAAATCAACAGGTTTTCAAAAACCTTAAACAAAGATGAAGAGTATGAGCTTATAAAGAAAATGGATGGCAGGAGAAAGGAATTAATATGAATAGAGAGGAAGACCATACAAGAGAAAGTTGAATATACTGAGTTAATTAAGATAGTAAGGAAGAAAAGAAGAAACAGAGCAAGAAAAAGAAGGAATGAAAAGGTTTTGAAAGCTGACAGAGAACCTAAGAATATCAATAGAAGAGTTGTAAACAGTAAAATATGCTCAATAAAATACAAAGAAGAAATCAACACAAATGATAGAACAGAAATAGTTGAAATATATGCAGATATTTACAGAGATTTAATACATCAACTATTGAAGATGAAACAGGAACAGAAATGAATCTTAAGAACAATAAAGCAGACAGAAGTCCTTAAAATTTTAATCTCAGAAGTGGAGAATGCATTAACTGAGGTGAAAAGCTCCAGGAAACGATATGATCAGCAGTGATATTTTGAAAGCATGTAGAACTGAAACATTAAGGCAGATAACAAAATTGTTTAACAAATTATTGGAGTCAAAAAAGATACCAAAGAAATGGAAAGAGGCCAAGATCATCATTTTATAAAAGAAGAGAGACTATCAAGATATAAAGAATTACCACCCCATAAACCTATTATCTCACTTATATAAGCTATTCACAAGAGAACTACAGAAAAATTGGAAAGAATTTTGGATGAGCACCAACCAAGAAGACAAGCAGGCTTTAAGAAAAAAATTTCAACAACAGATCATTTACATGCAGCTAATCAAATAATAGAAAAATAAAATGAATACAACTTATCTTTATGTGTGGGATTTATAGATTATGAAAAAGCATTTGACTCTGTAGAACACAGTGCAATATTAAATGCTTTAGCTACAATAAGCATCAATCTAACATACATCGAAATCTTAAGAGATATATACACAGATTCAAAAGCAAAAATACATCTTAATAAAGAGGTATCATCAGTGATAAAGATAGAGAGAGAGAGGGGTGAAACAGGGTGATCCAATATCTTTGAAACTGTTTACACCAACTTTGCAAGAAGTATTTAGACAAACTAAGGTATAGAATGAAGGTATAAAAACAGATGGTGAGACAATAACATATCTAAGGTTTGCAGATGATGTAGCTCTCTTTACAAATTCGACAAAAATGATGGAAGCTCTATTAAACAGTTTAAATGCCAGTAGCAAGAAAGCAGGGTTAAAAATACATGATGTAAAAACCAAATATATGACTAACTATCATGACACAGATACCATCAAAGTTGAGAATGAAGAAATAGAGAAAGTGCCAGTGTACAAATATTTAGGACAAATCCTCAAAATGGAAAAACACAACAAGGGAAGAAATTATGGTAAGAATAAAAGCAACATGGCAATGTTTTGGAATGTATAAAGAAATTCTAGGGGATCAAGATATCCCCATTACTTTGAAAAAAACCAAAAAACTCATGGATCAGTGTATACTACCAACCTTAATATATGGCTGCCAAACATGGGCACTAACAAAAGAGATAAGGAAAAAGCTATAAACCACACAAAGAGCTATGGGAAAAAAACTTCACATAACACTACAAGACAGATGGAGAAATAATGGAATAAGAAAACAACAAATATAATAGATGCAATAAGGTTCATTTTAAGAACTAAATGGAAATGGGCTGGGCATGTAGCAAGGTATTCCAACAATAGGTGGACATTAGAACAATGGAATAGCAATCTAGAACAGGGAAAAGTTCTAAGGGAAGGCAAAAGAGAAGATGGAGGGACGATATAGTGGTGGAAGCAGGAATCAGATGGACATGGTATGCTAAGAATATGAAATACTGGACTGGTCTGAAGGAGAGCTACATCCAGTAGCTTAGATAGAGAGATAGATGTTTTGACTGAGGATTTGTATGTTTTATGCTCAGCCAACCTAATGACCTCTGCTCTTGAGCAATAGCCCCCATATACAACAGTATGCTTTTAATACTAAATATGTATTGAAAAGCTATTTCATTATTCTTATTGGAATCACATGTAGACCCAGAATTGATAAAAATTATTCTAATGGTTTTGTGATGTATATGTAATACTTATCTTTCTTTAAGTCTGTTGAAGAACAGAATTTTTCATATCTTTAATTGTACATAAATACAGGATGAAATCAAATAAATTTTATTTTATTTTGCATAAGACACATTAGAATCATCAATGAAACTGAAAATTTATTTTCAAACATATATATGTATATGTCACATTTTTATTGTGGAATATTATCATATTTCTTGGTGTATAAGACAGACTTTTTACCCCAAAATTTGATGTCAGAATCTGCTTGCGTCCAATACACCGAAGGTATGAATAATATATATGTATATATACGATATACACAAGCCATTTGTAAATATATTTAAATAGGCATGCATAGTTCAGTTCAATTGAATGTGTTATTTATAACAATAGTATTATACACATTTTTAAAGTATCAAATTGAATTTTTGTTCAATAAAAATCTTTCAAATGCGACTGTAGGTTTTTTTTCCCAAATACTTTGTCTTCAAAATAAGGGTGTGTCTTATATTCCGAAAAATACGGTAACTGTTTTTAGCAAAAAATATGTCAAAAACGTTAGTTTATAAGAATAAGGCTATAAACTTGTAAAGGACAGTAGTTTTTAAAGAAGTTTCAAAAAAGTTTTAGTGAGAAGAAAGAGACAGAAAGTTAAATCTTGTTTATTGTTACCATATAGATTAAATAGCCACAGTTTACTCTAGTTATTGTTAATGAGTATAATTAGGCTTAGCCTTAGTATGTCATACAGTATTAGTCATTTGAAATTTTATATAGAAGTTTCATCCATTTTTTTTATTTATGTTAGGAGTATGAATGTTCAGTTTGATTTTGCTTTAATTTTCTTTTTCAAGGCAACAAGAGAAATAGGACAAATAGAAGCAAATACAACAATTATCATAACAGTTCGTGTTCGCAAACAAACTTTAGAAAACTCCACTCAGCTAGCCAGGTAGTTTGAAATTAAACTATTTGTTGTATATATGTTATACTTTAAGTTTTTTTTTTCCTTATTTATATTTATTCAAAAGGACCAGTTGGCCTTGAATAAAACATTTATTGCTTAGACTTTAATATTAAGTGAGCATTTTCCATATTTTTATATTTTGTTTCTACCATTATAAGTATTTTTTTTATGACTTGTCAATTTTAAAAACTCGGTTGTTTCTTTAGTGAGATTATATTTTCCATTTTTATTAAATTTGTCTTAAACATACCACCTTGATTTTGATCTTAAAGTTTTCTCACATACAATGTAACAAGTGATTTCTTTGTCTTGTTTTGTATAGTTTTGAGTGTAGTTTTTTAGTTTAAAATTTGTTGTTTTTGCTGTCTGATTTAAAAAAAAGAAAGTTACAAAAAATGCTAATGATGTAGAATAGGTTTCATTTGTGTCTCCACCTCTTATGCTTTATCATGTGGAAAACAATGTTTAAGATTGTTCAGCTTTTTGGTCATGGATAACTGGAATTTCATTTAGTAGCTTCATATGGCTTTATGAGAGACTGCTTTAGCGATTCTTTCTTAAGATTGAAGACATCTGTTTTGTTCACATTTTAATCTTGTGTAGTTGAATATAAGAATTATTAAGTTTACATTAGGTAACAAATTCTATACCACATCTAGGTAAGCACTGCATGTTTAAGCATACTAGCTCTAGTCAGCCCACCTGAGCTAATGGTGTGGAGCATTTATGTGACTGAATAAAGTTCAGATTGGAAGGGCTTTTCATATTATTTAAAATGCATCAGCTTCATAAAAATAGAATTGTATCACATTTAGTCAATATTTTCAGAATGAAAGTACAAGTTTTTGTATTATAAAAGCCTTTAGAATAGATAGTAATTTGTTTCACAATGAATACAATTAGTTTATACATTCCTTCCTATCTTCTAATATGTAATATTAACTATGAAATTAGTAGAACTACTTTTTAGTTTTCAATCAAAAAAGAAAATCCAGTTGAATGGGCAATTTATTATTTTTAAAAGGCTGCTTCAACTATTTTTTGGGAGAATCAGGTGGCCTTTGAAAAACTTAATCTTTACAATTATGCAGTATGTAAATGTTGAAGAAAGATATCTTTTCTTATGCAAAAGTAATTTTTAGTTTTTGGTACAAAAATTTGTTTTATTAATATTATTCAGGTCCCGAAGAGGTGCTGGAGCTGGTGTAACTATAGGGTTTGGATTTGGATTCTTATATTGCTATTTTTGTAGAACATTACTCTGTAAGAACATACCAATTCCAGTGATTAGACCACCCCATTTTGGCATAAGTGAGTAAACATATATTCTTTTTCCTATCTTATTAGAGTTATTATTAATATAGAGCAGGGGCACACCCAAGCTACAACCCACAAGTATACTTAATTTGGCCTATTATTAAAAATTACATATTTAAAAATGTGGTGTGTTTGGTTTCTATTTATTAAAAAAGTTATTAGTACTTAGAATATTTTGGTTTAATTTGTTTTGAATTTTGCACAAAGCAACATGAATGCTATCTGCACTAGCCATCCCCTCTTATAACAGTGATAGATTGGAGGGAAGGTAGCTAGTTAACACCACCCACCACTAACTTTTGGGCTGCTATTTTTCCAAAAATAGTGTGATTGACTATCACATTATAAAATCCCTACAGCCGAATGGGCGAGCATATTTGGTGTGATGGGGATTTGGACTCACAACCTGCAGATTATGAGTCAAATGCCATAACTATCAGGCCATGCCATGGAATATTTTAATTACATTAGTCCCTTGGTTTTCAAGACAAATATACTTACCTGTGAAGTATGGTTACTAGTTCTCCATAGAGTTTGTAGTCCTTCATCTAGAAATGTAAATGGTCCACCATACTTAAAAGGCTGTGCAATCCAGATATCTACATTATGATGTAGTGGGATTATCATTATATATATTTATATTTACTATTAAGATAACTAAAAATTTTAAAGCAAGAAACTGTAGATACTGACTTAAATAAAAATGTAATTGTAATGAGTACATGATAGACATGAATATTCAATTGATATACTGCTCGAGCTAAATGATAATTCTTTGCCATTATATAAGCATGGACACAAATCTTATATCTCTAATAAAGTTCAGGTGATTTCAGAGGCATCACAAAACATTGGGACATGGGTCTCATGTTTCAATTCTATTTGACAGTGCCCCAAGTCTCTAGTTGGTGTATTGAACATCAGAATAGAAAACCATGATCTATATCATATTGAAACACCATAAATTCCCACACCTATGGGCCTAAGCCTTGAATCATTTAAGTACCTAGTGATGCCTCTGGATGATTCTTGACTTTTCTTAACAAATGTCACATGTTTAGGCATTTTTAGACCTTAGAAAAATGTTTATGAAATTTACAAGTTTACTGTATCATTAAAGTATATAAAAAAAGAGAAACCTGAATAAGACAACTAATCAGAACAAAACCTGTATCAATGTAACTGAGAAAATCGTTTGCTCACTTTTTGTTTCTAAAAGTTTTTGATTATTATAAAAAAAATAATTGCACTAACTCTTATGACTTAACATGTTATATGTGAAATAATATTTTTAAAGAAGATACTACATACAGAACAAAAGTGCATTTTACATATGCAATGTATAAATATGAGAACTGTGTAACCATACTCAGTGAGAATATTTTCAGTCAAAGTTAGGGTGTACAAATTCTTTTACAAAATTTTTCTCTGACTTGCCAGGCAAAATTACAGATTTTCAAGACCTGTATATTCATATTTACAACACACGTTGATATTTAAACGTTTTCTCGTCATTCCACCTAACTAAAATCACTTTATTTTGTAACCTAGTTCTAAAAAAATAACAAAACTTCAGGAAATATACATATTTCAGGTTATAGTACTATAAAAATTGTCTTCAAACAAGGACAGTATAACTTGACAGTATACTGTAAAATGTAGCATTTCTATTTATAAAATAACAGTTGGTCTAAACTATCATCAAACATAATGAGTTACATAATTATAACAAGAAAAAATAACAAGTAATGACTGGCCAAGATTATATTAGATTTTACCAATAATGGCCATAGCTAGACACAGCATGGTTTTATATAGGTGTGCAGACTCTAAGATCAAAAGGGAGAAACATAGTTTTCCTTGTCATTTCTAGGCTTTGAAATGGTTTTTAAATTTTCCAATTTTTTAATCCCTTTTTCAAATTCCCCAATTTTTTTTTAGTTTAAACTCGCTAGCTTTAATTGTCATTTCTTCTAATTCAAAGAAATGTTTAAAATCTGCCAATAACTTTATAGAAAACTGAATGAAATATTAGCATATTTATCAATTGCCTTGCTATACTGTAAAATCATTATTTTTCTCATCACACTACCCTTGATATCTTAAAAATATTTTACAACTATTAGTTTATGTTTTAAGATTAGTAAATAATATGTTTTTCACATGATAATTTTAACAGGTAATTATACTTCTGTATATATTTGTATATTTTCTGAGAAACTGAAAATTTTGGATTAGTAGGATTTGAATTAACAGCCTTATTATCATATAACTTTCCAAAATGGATTATTCATGAAATTAAAATGGTCTGTATAAAAATTGAAGTATGGTTATGAAGTATAAATAAAACTTTTGTTTTTTGAAATTGAAATATTCTCAATAAAAATAAAGATGCAAAAGTATTTCAAAATTAAATACTTGAATAAATATGCAAATAACATTATTTTGTTTTCTAGCTGATTAAAAACATAAAATCAGCATCTATTTACCATGTTATAACAACAGTGTTCTGTATATGGATTCAAAAATAAAAAACTAAGGGTCATATTACTTATTTAGGACCGAACTTTGGCTTTTGGGGACCATTGGGTAAGTTTCTCAACTACTTTATTACTTTATTTAACTGAAGAGCACTCGTATTGGCTCAACTACCTTGTCAGCAGATATATAGTGTGGTTGACATATTATTATATGCTTTGACACGGGAGCTCTTATTAATAATGTATTATATCTCATATATACAGATAGGTACTTACACGTACGTGAAATAGTATGTTTTGATTAAATTATTTTTTCCTATTACTTTTGATAGTAAAACCAAATGTATGAAAACGTTTTTGTGTGCTAGCATTCATAAGAAAGAATGCCATAAATGCTAAAGTTCCTAACCCTTTTTTATTTTATTGCTGCTGTTTTTTTATTACATGGAATATCTCATTTTCTCCCATCCCACTTCATGCATGCTAGTGTTGTAGATTGCTTGTGTCATAAATAACCTTGGTCTGGCTCACAAACGTATGGCATGGATAAATGAGCAATAGCTGAAAAAGATTTTTCTATCTGAAAAAAGATTATGCAAACATGATAACACACTACAAATAAAGAGGTTATAAGTTTAGTCAGAATACTCAAAATAAAATAAAAAATTTTGCTTAAGTAAAGTAGGCTAACAAAAACCACAAGCAAAATAGGTTTTATTTGTTTCAAACGTTCATGCAAAGTTACACAAGACTATCTGTATACACTAGTTAATTTTGCACTGATAGACTAGAGTAAATGCAGCTAATAACAAGTATCCACCACTAACTCTTGGCCTACTATAATCAGATATTGAAATATATGCAATCAAAGTGACAAGATGTGAAGCACTTGTTTTTGTAGTAATGAGATGTATATATATGATATAACACAACAGAATTGATGCAGCATAGCAGGAATCATAAAAGCAAAATTTACTTATAAAGTTACAGATATATACCAGTGTGTAAAACTTATTATGTTTAGAAAAAATTAGGAATAAGTTAAATATGAAAGTATTGTAAAAAAGTTATGCTGATGCAAGATTGAGGTTTAAAAAGATATTTAATATTAAACATTAAAACACCACCTTTGAATTTTTTTGTTGTGTAAAAATCTCCAATAACAATAGACCAAGAGAGTTTCAATGGTGTAAAGGCACAAATTTTATCATAAAATTATATTAAATCAGATAAGAGCACATAGAACTTAATGGACCCTCTGAGCATCTTTAAATATCATAAAATTTAGACTTAAAAAACTATGCAAATTTAATATGCTCTTTTTGTTTCACAAAACACAGTTTGCCATATATAATGTGCAAATGTCACAATTTGTTTGGTATATTAGACATGGCAATAATACAGGAATATGTTTTTATAATAATAACTGAGGTAATTTCTTACTAGTCCTGTATGAAGAGAGATGTGTGAGTTAAAAATTTCTAATGATTTTCATTTATGAATGATATCTGTGCTAGCCATAAGTAATTTTGAAGTAATTGACTAGAGGGAAGGCAGCTAGTCAAAACCACCCAGCTCTAAATTTTGACTTAGTCTTGTTAGAGTAAAAAATGCAATTTGACAGCACTCCCCATTCTTATAATGGACCCATGACCCCAAAGTGCACAGCATGATTTTTTAAGTATTGTTTTGGTGATAACAGAGCACAAATTATGAAACCTAAAACTCACAATCTGATGCATGAACCACTGGGTCATGATCAGCCCAACTTCAACTGAAGAACTGTTTTAACGTATTGGAAGAGAATATTGTTTAGTGTTCAGTGATGGAGCAGGAAATGTTTATAAGGTTGTTTTTCTTTTTTAATAAAACTGGAGTAGTTATTTGTCTTGTGCTCTGTTTTTATTAACTTAGTTTTTTTAGATTTGTTATTTCTGTTTTATAAAATTTTTATTACAAAAATATAAACAAGAAATATTTTATTTTCGAACATTAGTTGGCCCTGGTCCCTCTGTTCACCTTATAAAACCAGTACCATCCACATCTCTTGCCTGTGATGCCTTGGGTTGTGTAGCATATGTAGCAACATGCATCATGGCATTGTTTGACATCACAGGATGCCCTTCATCAATTTACAGTTTAGTAACTGCTAACTCTCTCTTGCAATTTGTTGTGGGTGTGGCAGGGACTATATTTTCATGCTTTCCTATTTCCAAGACCATTTCAAATATCATGAATGGAGTAGGGTAAGTACATTTTTTAATGATCATTAAAAATTCTTAAGTATGAAATTTAAAATTACGCTTCAAAATGTTAATGACATTAAATGTGAAGAAGATTAATTAGTAATTATTCTTTTTCCTACAAAATTTAATTTATGTGAAGGTTTTTTTGTTTTTCATTTCTTTAACACAAAAGATTTCTGTAGACAAGGTTAAAAGCAAAATTTCCCCAGCCATGTCTGGAATACATTGAAGCATGGAATGCTGTTTATCTGTTCTAGTCTAATTTATATACTATTAAATGAGATTTATTATTAATGTCACATAGAAGAGCACCATTAGTATTTGCTGAGAAGAAAGAAAATACTTTCTGGCTCAACAAATAGGCAAATATTTTACTTCACCTTATTTGTTATTCATCTAACCTTTCTCCTGTTTCTTCTCTCAATTCAATTTTAATTATGTTAGAATTGTCAGTAGGCTTACACAACAAGGTTCAGGAAATATATAAAAAAAAACAGTACTCAGACTGAAAAATGTTAAAAATACCATATAGTAAGGATTCTTAAAAACGTTTTGCATAGTTACTAGACAGCTATCTGTGTAGGTCATGTAAGTAAGTAATGCATATTCAATGAACATCTAATGAAGACAAATGTTTGTTATAAGCTAACTGTTAGCCAAGTGGTTATCACATCACCTGCATGTGTCCAAGATCTAGCTCATTGAGGTTTTTTACTGAATGAATCCCTTTATTCATATATTTATGCCCAGAATAGACATTCATAAGTCTGTTGATATTTGTGGGTTAATCTAACTGGTTTCATTCTTTCATTTTCTTACCTTGTCTATTTATTTGTACAGGACTTTGAATTGTTTCTCTCTCTCTCTTGATTTAAATGCTTCTCATCATTCCATGCAGATAGTTCTTCTCTCCTAGAAATACTAATAGCTTATAATTCTACTTTTTATCATGTCATTAATTTCACTTGTTGGCAAATGTATTTTTTTGTTGGGCATTTTGATGTTCTTCCCTATCTCCATATTAAGTCTGCTTAAAAGCTTGCATTTTTTAAACAGATGTACATTATAAAGTTTAGAAATGGCTTGAATGGATAATTTGGAAAACTTTATAACAAGTGTATAATGTTTAGACAAAGTTTTGTATATGATAATGACAAATTTTTTAATATGTCATTGTGTTAAATTTGTAATAAAGCTCTCTTTGTAACATATTCAATCCATTTCCAAACCTTATTAGTCTCAGATTGTACTGTATCAAATAAATGCATACTTCTGTTGTATGCAACTATTGCATATTTCAGTTTTTAAATTGTATATTTAATATCTTCAGAATTTGAAGTTTTTGTATAGATTCTCATTTGGAACAGCCTGAATCTGCAGAATATAACATGGTAAATTCAGTGCAAAATGTTTCTTTGTGTAGTATGGCTCAATTGTAAAATTTACCTACTGTTTCATGAGAATATGGTATTGTGTCATACTGTACCTTGTATATAGAGGGCTGCTCTATGACTGTCACATCGAACAGAGATATTTACAGGTACTTGTGAACACATTTTCTAATTAGTCAGCTACAGCAAGAAGGTGAATTGTGAATGTATTATTTTTGGTGTTTTCAAACAGACTTGGATTGAATTTTGAGAAAACTAGAACTTGTTGTGAAATGTTGTTTCTTTCGTTAGTTCTCCTACTGATTGAGCATTGTTTAACTCAGTTTTCAGTGAACTTCATTTTTAACTATCTTATTTTAAATACAACTTAATTCCATTGTTCATTATACATTTTAATCTAAATATCTTGCAGTATTATTTTCATTAGTATGATTAACCATTTATTTTTGTTCTATCAGCAATTGAGTATTTTGTTTCAAGTTCTGTTTCTTTCATTTCACCAACAATATATTGTTACACCTGTTCTTCCACATATTAGGTCCTTTCATCTCTAGTTGTTGCAGAGATTAGTTTAAATACAGAAATGTTCGAGAGGGTGGAAATTGGGTAACATCTGGGTGCAAGTGATTATTGCTCTATTAGGTTCAATGTTTTGCTGCATATGGAGATAAGGAATAATGATATTTTGGTTACAAATTTCAAAAAAGCAAATTTGGAAGGGATGTGACAAGAATTATCTGTTTTGAATTTGGCAGCTGAGTTATCTGGAGACACTGATCAGATGTGGAAACATTTTAAAGATAAATTTTTAAATATTCAAGGTAAATATATTCCTTATAGAAAGAAAAGGGTAGCTGCAAGTAAAAAACAAGGTTGGCTGACAAAGAGGTTAAGAGATAAAATTAAAGAAAAGCATCATAAATTTAAGAAATTTAAATTGACTGGTATGACAGGAGATTATAGGAGATCAAGAAAGTTGGTGAAATGAGAAATTAGGACATCAAAAAGGATGTATCAGAAAAGGTTGGCCGAAAATGTAAAAATTAACAGTAATTATTTCTTTAAATACATTAAGGGTAAACAAAATGTTAGGATGGGGATAGTACCCTTGAGAGAGGATAAAGGAAGGCTAGTATCTGATGATTATGAGATGGTTAGGTTATTAAATTTGGCTTTTTCTTCAGTTTTTTATTAATGAAGATTTAAGCAATATTCCCCATCTTGAACAGATGATAAATGGAAACAAGATCGAACTAGATGACTGCATTAATTCTGAGCTGGTTAAGAAAACATTTATAAGTTTAAAAATGATAAGGCTCCTGGGCCAGATAACATTTCCCCACAGGTTTTGAAAGAGGTTAAAGATTGGATATGTGAACCACTTACTACTATTTTTAATTAGTCGTTGAACAGTGGGCAGGTACCAGAGGATTGGAAGTTAGCTAAAGTAACTCCTCTGTTTAAGGGTGGTGATAAAAATTGTCCCAGTAATTATAGACCCATTAGTCTTACATCAGTTGAGGGAAAAGTTTTGGAAAGTCTGTTAAAAGATGCTTTGCAAAGTCATTTAACAAAGTTTAGAATTTTATTGGATAGTCAACATGGTTTCACTAAGGGAAAATCTTGCCTTACAAATCTTTTGACATTCTTTGAAAAGGTTACTGCTTATGTAGATGAGAATAAGGGTGTAGATTTGGTGTATCTGGATTTTCAGAAAGCATTTGACAAGGTGCCACATAAAAGGCTTGTAAAAAAAGTATCTCTATAGGTGTGGGGGACAAGTTAGCAAACTAGATAGAAGAATGGCTGAATGAAAGAAAGCAGAGGGTTGTTACAAATGGAGTTCAGTCAAACTGGATTAATGTCACAAGTGGCGTACCTTAGGGCTCACTCTTAGGACCTTTGCTCTTTTTGATTTACAGCAATGACATAAGTGAAGGAATAATCAATAAATTACTTAAATTTGCAGATGATATTAAAGTCTTGCGTGTTGCTAGCTGTAAAGAGGATTTATATCATTTAGTGAATTGGGCAAATAAATGGCAGATAGATTTTGATTATAAAAATTGCAAGAATAATGCATGTGGGTTATCATGATTTGAATTATAAGTATAATTTGGATGGGAATGATCTTAACAGTGTTATGAAGGAAAGGGATATTGGTGTAATAGTCGATCAGTCTCTATAGTCATCCAAGCAGTGTGCTGTTGCTAGTAGTAAGGCAAATAGGATTTTAGGTTGTATCTATAGAAATATTGAATACAAATCTAAAGAGGTTATAATTTCATTGTATAGGTAACTGGTTAGGCCACATTTGGAATATTGTGTTCAGTCTTGGACTCCTTACCTTAGGAAAGACATTGAATTATTGGAAAGGGTTCAGAGAAAGGTGCCAGAGATGGAGGGGTTGTCATACGATGAGAGGCTGAAATCTCA